AACGCATCCTTTTCAGCTGAATCGCAGAAATAAACGCTTCGGTCGCTGGTACCTCTTCAGCCTCTGGTGAGATTGATTGCTAATACTTCGCGCTTTGGATTGGCTCCTGCTGGCCGCTCACCAAGGTCAGGGACCCCTTTAGCGGTCTCCAGGGATCTCCTTCACTGGGAGAAGCCCCCCAAAAGAGCTCGATATCATTTCTCTTGAGCTCTTTAAGCAGAAGCAGGATGGCCATCTGTTGGGAGGTATCAGATAAGACTGGAGATAAGCCTGGATGGCCTGTGGGATCCTCTTTCAACTCTAATGTAGCAAGATACCTCTCCTTCTTTGGTGCTCTTTCAGCTGAGGTTGGATGACCATCTGTCAGGAGGGATCAGATTGTGTCTTTATGGCAGAGGATGTTTGGATTCGATGGTCTTTGGGGGTCCCTTCCAACTCTAGTGTATAGATCGCCTTGAAGCCTGGTGGAGTCTCCTTAGAGGTTTTTAATCTGATGACCATCTGTAGGGAGGGATCGGATGGTGTCTTCCTTTCTGTCAGAAGGGTGTACGACTGGATGACCTTTGGGGTGCCTTCCAACACACAAAAGGAGCTTCACTTCCAAGATTCGCTTGGATCTAAAACCACTGGACATCGCCTTGAAGTTTGGTAGAATCTCCTTAGAGGTCTTTAATCCGATGGCCATCTGCAGGGAGGGATCGGATGGTGTCTTTCTGTCAGAAGGGGGTACGACTGGATGACCTTTGGGGTGCCTTCCAACACACAAAAGGAGCTTCACTTCCAAGATTCACTTGGATCCAAAGCCACTGGACATGACGATTGCCTTGAAGTCTGATGGAGTCTCCTTAGAGGTCTTAAATCTGATGGCCATCTGTCAGGAGGGATCGGATGGTGACTTCCTTTCTGTAGGAAGGGGGTATGACTGGATGACCTTTGGGGTGCCTTCCAACTCTATACACACAAAAGAAGCTTCACTTCCAAGATTTGCTTGGATCCAAAGCCACTGGACATGACGATCGCCTTGAAGTCTGGTGGAGTCTCCTTAGAGGTCTTTAATCCGATGGCCATCTGTAGGGAGGGATCGAATTGTGTCTTCCTTTCGTTTGGAAGGGGGTATGACTGGATGATCTTTGGGGTGCCTTCCAACTCTATACACACTCTATGCCTGGATCCAAAACCACTGGACATGACGATATATCCTCTCACCTCGTTAATATCTTGTCAGTTCATTAACACCTCACTGGTTTTTCTCTCAAGTCATTAAACCCTCGTCCGGGAACTGGAGAGAGGTAAAAAGGTGAGCAAATACATTAGAGGGAGGCTTCTATTCAGACAAGGCCGGTGTGTACATACACACGGAGTACTAATTGCAGACACTGTTCTCAATTTAAAAGGTGAACAAACTAACTAGTTCAGTCTGGGCCAACTTGGGCCATCCGGGTGTTTTGGACTAGAACTCCCACAATTCCTAACAGACGGTGTGACATTATGTCGTCGAGGGCATCCCAGACCCCTGCCTTCAAGCTGGTGTGACCTGCAGCAGGGTGTTCCACAGTTCCTGATTAAAAACATGGACTGTCTACAGACATCACATGCAACTCCTAAAATGATTCCATCAGCGCTACCTCCGGAAAATCCTGCAAATCTCTTGGGAAGACAAGCGGACAAATGTCAGCGTGCTGGAAGAAGCAAAGACCACCAGCATTGAAGCGATGGTCCTCCACCATCGACTCTGCTGGACCGGCCACGTTGTCCGAATGCCCGACCACCGTCTCCCAAAGCAGTTGCTCTACTCCGAACTCAAGAACGGAAAACGGAATGTTGGTGGACAGGAAAAGAGATTGAAAGACGGGCTCAAAGCCAACCTTAAAAATTCTGACATAGACATGGAGAACTGGGAAGCCCTGGCCCTTGAGCGCTCCAGCTGGAGGTCAGCTGTGACCAGCAGTGCTACAGAATTTGAGGAGGCACGAATAGAGGGCGAAAGAGGGATACGTGACAAGAGGAAGGCGTGTCAAGCCAAGCCCGACCGGGACCGCCTTCCACCTGGAAACCAATGCCCTCACTGTGGGAGAAGATGCAGGTCAAGAAGAGGGGTCCATAGTCACCTACAGACCCACCACCAGGACACCGACCATGAGGAGCTGGAGCTGATAGAGGGAGCTCATCCCCCTCTCCCCGGATTTGAACCTGCAACCTAAGTAAGTAACACTTTCAAAGCAGGAACAGAATTTTTTCAAATTCAAATTTTGTTCCATAGTGTCATGCTTAGAAAGCTCTTTAACCTCAGCAGACTGAAAGCCAAAACCAAGGTCACAACATCTGTTATAGAACTCCAATATGCTGATTTTTATTTATTTATCGTGTCATCCGCAACCAGAACATTGTATTACATTTCTAACAGAACAAAACAAAGAAACAGATAAAAAACCCACAAATTTTGCAAACTTGGTAGCTGATTAAATGCCCTTTGACCAGTATCTGGCCACTTGGAGTGCCTCTGGTGTTGCCGCAAGAAGGTCCTCCATCGTGCATGTGGCAGGGCTCAGGGTGCATTGCAGCAGGTGGTCAGTGGTTTGCTCTTCTCCACACTTGCATGTCGTGGATTCCACTTTGTGGCCCCATTTCTTCAGATTGGCTCTGCATTTCGTGGCGCCAGAGCGCAGTCTGTTCAGCGCATTTCCAAGTCGCCCAGTTTTCTGTGTGCCCAGGGGGGAGTCTCTCATTTGGTATCAGCCATTGGTTGAGGTTCTGGGTTTGAGCCTACCACTTTTGGACTCTCGCTTGCTGAGGTGTTCCAGCGAGTGTCTCTGTAGATCTTAGAAAACTATGTCTGGATGTAAGTCACTGATGTGCTGGCTGATACCCAAACGGGATGAGCTGGAGATGTCTCTGCCTTGGTCCTTTCACTATTGGCTGCCACTTCCCGGCGGATGTCAGGTGGTGCGATACCGGCTAGACAGTGTAATTTTTCCAGTGGTGTAGGGCACAGGCACCTTGTGATAAGGCGACATGTCTCATTGAGAGCCACATCCACTGTTTTAGTGTGGTGAGATGTGTTCCACACTGGGCATGCATACTCAGCAGCAGAGTAGCATAGCGCAAGGGCAGATGTCTTCACTGTATCTGGTTGTGATCCCCAGGTTGTGCCAGTCAGCTTTCGTATGATATTGTTTCTAGCACCCACTTTTTGCTTGATGTTCAGGCAGTGCTTCTTGTAGGTCAGAGCACGGTCCAGAGTGACTCCCAGGGATTTGGGTGTGCTGCAATGCTCCAGTGGGATTCCTTCCCAGGTCATAATCCTCAGAGCTCAGGATGCTTGTCTGTTCTTGAGATGAAAGGCACATGTCTATGTTTTAGATGGGTTGGGGATCAGCTGGTTTTCCCTGTAATAGGCAGTAAGAGCACCTAGAGCTTCGGAGAGCTTCTTTTCAACCATCTCAGAGCTCCCTGTTTGAGCAGTAATGGCACGATCATCAGCATAGACGAAACTCTCTGTCTCTTTTGGCAGTGGCTGGTCATTTGTGTGGGACCACCTTGACTGGTTTGTGCCAGAGTCTTTGCAGTTTGGTATTTAAATCCTATTACTATTATTATTATTGTCCACAGTAGCACAGAGTAGCATAGCACAAGGGCAGATGTCTTCACTGTGTCAGGTTGTGATCCCCAGGTTGTGCCAGTCAGCTTTCGTATGATATTGTTTCTAGCACCCACTTTTTGCTTGATATTCAGGCCGTGCTTCTTGTAAGTCAGAGCACGGTCCAGAGTGACTCCCAGGTACTTGGCTGTGCTGCAATGCTCCAGTGGGATTCCTTCCCAGGTAATGATTCTCAGAGCTCGGGATGCTCTTCTGTTCTTAAGTTGAAAGGCACATGTCTGTGTTTTAGATGGGTTGGGGATCAGCTGGTTTTCCCTGTAATAGGCAGTAAGAGCACCTAGAGCAGTGGTTCTCAACATGGGGTCCCCAGATGTTTTTGGCCTACAAGTCCCAGAAATCCCAGCCAGTTTACCAGCTGTTAGAATTTCTGGGAGTTGAAGTCCAAAAACATCTGGGGACCCACAGGTTGAGAACCACTGACCTAAAGCTTTGGAGAGCTTCTGCTCAATCATCTCAAAGCTCCCTGCTTGAGCGGTGATGGCACGATCATCAGCATAGATGAAACTGTCTGTCCCTTCTGGCCGTGGCTGGTCATTTGTTTTGAACATGGATGGAGCAAGCATGCTCCCCTGAGGCAGGCCGTTCTTCTGTTTCCGCCATCTGCTTCAACAAAAAAGCTCCTGTTCGGTAGCTGATTTCCTTGAGTGGTGATGGCACGATCATCAGCATAGATGAAGCTCTCTGTCCCTTCTGGCAGTGGCTGGTCATCTGTGTAGATGTTGAACATGGATGGAGCAAGCACGCTCCCCTGAGGCAGGCCGTTCTTCTGTTTCCGCCATCTGCTTCAACAAAAAAGCTCCTGTTCGGTAGGTGATTTCCTTGAGTGGTGATGGCACGATCATCAGCATAGATGAAGCTCTCTGTCCCTTCTGGCAGTGGCTGGTCATTTGTGTAGATGTTGAACATGGATGGAGCAAGCACGCTCCCCTGAGGCAGGCCGTTCTTCTGTTTCCGCCATCTGCTTCTCTGGCCCTGGAAGTCAACAAAAAAGCTCCAATATGCTGATGATAACGTTGTCTATGCGCATTCATCTCCCCTCATCCTTTGTCTACTCCATGTTGCTGAGGATCTCCCTATTTCCTGTCTGTCAGCATCTCCCCCCTCTTTTCCCCATCATAAGGGATTGATTTTGCATACCTATTAGGCACTGTTAGCTAATTATTAATTCATGAGGGGAGAGGGAAAGCGTATTTTCCCCTTTAAGACAGAAAACAGACGCATTTGCATATTCATGAGGCGCGCTGACGTCACGAAGCGCCTCGGCGAGTCCCTTATGTGGAGTGAGACTGAAACAGAGCGGGCGTCGTGCGCGCTGACGTCAGACGCCGACGCGGAGGCGTTGACGCGCGGCTCGGCGCAGCGTGCGCGGTGACGTCACCGAAGCCGGAAAACCCCGAAGGGAGGGGGAGGAGGAGGATGGTGGCCGGCGCGTTCCCGATCGCCAAGCTCCTCTACTTGGGCGTGCGGCAGATCTCGAAGCCCCTGGCGGCGCGCATCAAGGACGGGGCCCGCGCCAGCCCCTTCTTCCGCCAGTACATCTGCGGGCCCCCCGCGCAAAGTGAGTCCCGAGACGCCATTCAGGGAACGCTCCCCACACCCCATTGGAAGAGCTTCCCGTCAATCATTTCCGCCGGGCCAATGGGAGTGGCGAGGGGGTGGGGTACGCCGCTAGCCAATGGGAGCTCACCCAGGGGAGGTTGGTAGGCCAATCCGAGGGCGCCGAACGTCCAAGGGGGGTGACCTTGGCGTGTCACGTGGGCCAAGGCGGAAGCTTGGAGAGGAGGGGATGCCGGGAAGTGTAGTCCACGTTTCTTTTTCCTACCATATACTTGTATGGAATAGAATATAACTTAGGAGATAGTGCAATATATTATATTATACTATATAATATAATATATTATATAATACTATATAATATAATATATTGTATAATATAAAATATATACTTATATAGGTTGGTGTGCGTTTTCTGGACCTGGCCATGTTCCAGAAGCATTCTCTCCTGACGTTTCGCCTCCATCTATGGCAGGCATGCTCAGAAGTTGAGAAGTCTCTTGGAAACTAGGAAAGTGGGGTTTATATATATATATATATATATATATGAAATGATATATAGAGAAAGAACTCTTGTCTGTTTGAGGCAAGTGTGAATGTTTCATTTGGCCACCTTGATTAGCATTTAGTGATTAGCATTTCATTTGGCCACCTTGATTAGCCTTGCAGCTTCAGAGACTGGCTGCTTCCTGCCTGGGGGCATTCTTCGTTGAGAGGTGATTAGCTGTCCCTGATTGTTTCTTGTCTGGAGCTCCCCAGTCTCTCAGCTTTTTCTTCTGCATGGCAGGCATGCTCAGAGGTTGAGAGGTCTCTTGGAAACTAGGAAAGTTGAGTTTATATATCTGTGGAATGATATATAGAGAAAGAACTCTTGTCTGTTTGAGGCAAGTGTGAATGTTTCATTTGGCCACCTTGATTCGCATTTAATGACCTTGCAGCTTCAGAGACTGGCTGCTTCCTGCCTGGGGGCATTCTTTGTTGAGAGGTGATTAGCTGTCCCTGATAGTTTCTTGTCTGGAGCTCCCCAGTCTCTCAGCCTTCTCTTCTTCAGGCTAAACATGCCCAGCTCTTTAAGCTGCTCCTCATAGGGCTTGTTCTCCAGACCCTTATCGTTTTAGTCGCCCTCTTTCTCTGGACACATTCCAGCTTAGAGTCAACATCTCCCTTTAATTGTGGTGCCCAGAATTGGACACAGTATTCCAGATGTGGTCTGACCAAGGCAGAATAGAGCATGGGGAGCATGACTTCCCTGGGTCTAGGCACTAGACTTGTATTATTATTATTATTATTATTATTAGAATTATATTGTATTACATTCTAATATTATGATCAATATTATATCAATATTATATGTATATACAATATTTTATAGGAGTCCCTCATGGTGCAGTGGGTTAATAATAATAAAATTAATAATAATAAACTTTATTTGTACCCCGCTACCATCTCCTCAAGGGACTCGGTGTGGCTTACATGAGGCTGAGCCCACAATACAACAATAAACAATAACAATAATACAAAACAATAAATAATTCATAAGCAAAAATAAGCAATAAACATTAACAGTAACATGAACAGTAACAGTTAAACTACTGAGATGCTGAACTTGCGGACCGAAAGGTCAGCAGTTCAAACCTGGGGAGTGGGGTGAGCTCCAGCTGTTAGCCCCAGCTTCTGCTAACCTAGCAGTTCAAAAACATGGAAATGTGAGTTGATCAATACGAATTGCTTCTACGGGAAGGTGACAGCACGCCAAGCAGACATGCCAGTGGAGGCTTTTAAGCAGAGGCTGGATGGCCATCTGTCAGGAGTGCTTTGAATGTGATTATCCTGCTTTTTGGCAGAATGGGGTTGTGTGGGATGGCGCATGATGTCTATTCCAACTGTAGGATTCTAGGATTTTATAACACAATATAATAATATATTATAATAAGATTGTAACATTATTATTATTATTATTATTATTATTATTTACATAGTAATACTAATATATTAAATATAATTACATCTGATGATATATAATCAAAATGATAATATATCATAATATAAAATTATTATTATTTTATATTTTAAGTTTTTGTGTCTTTGAGTCTCTGTATGGAGAGATAAAAGAGGGAATATATATATATATATATATATATATATATATATATACACACACACACACACACACATACATACATACATATACATACACATATATATATGGAGCCTCCTGTGGTGCAGTGGGTTAAAGTGCTGAGCTGCTGAGCTTGTTGACCGAAAGGTTGCAGGTTCGATTCCGGGGAGGTTCAATTCCTGTCAGCCCTAGCTTCTGCCAACCTAGCAGTTCGAAAACATGCAAATGTGAGATCAGTAGGTACCGTTCCGGCGGGAAGGTAACGGCGTTCCATGCAATCATACCGGCCACATGACCTTGGAAGTGTCTATGGACTGCCAGCTCTTCGGTTTAGAAATGGAGATGAGCACCAGAGTCCCAGAGTCGGACACAACTGGACTTAATGTCAGGGGACAACCTTTACGTACCTATCTATATAAATAAAAATGTAATGATCGTTTGTGGGATTAACAGAACTCAAAAACCACTGGGGAAATTGACACCAAATTTGGACACAAGACACCAATCAGGCCAATGTATGTCCTTCACTCATAAAAACACTGAAAAACACAGCAGAAGGGAATTAAAAAGCCCCAAAAAGCTAAATGACGAAAAGCTAAATGACAATACAGAAAAAAGGGAAGAAAGAGGGAGGAAGGGAGAAAGAAAGAAAGAGGGAAAGAAAAAAAGAAAGGAGAAGGAAGAGAAGAAAGATAGAAGGAAGGAAGGAAGGAAGGAAGAGAAGAAGAAAAGAAAAGAGGGGAAGGAAGGAAAGTTAGAGAAGGAAGGAAGGAGAGAAGGAAAGGAAAAAAGGGAAAGAAGGAAGGAAAGAGGGAGAGAAGGAAGAGGGGAATATGTAGAGAAAGAGGGAGGGAAGGAAAGAGAGAAGGGAGAAAAGAGACAGCAGAAGAGAAAGAAAAAGGGGGAAGGAAGGAAAGAGATAGAGAAGGAAGGAAGAAGAGAAGGAAAGATCAGGAAGGAAGTAAGGAAAGAGGGAGTGAAGGAAGGAGGGAAAGAAGGAGAGAAAGAGGGAAGGTTGGCCACAGCAACGCATGGCGGGTACAGCTAGTAAGTGTATATGTGTGTGTGTGTGTGTGTGTATAATATAAACGGAGATGCGGTCACGCAGGTAGGGTGGTCCCAAACCGTTCAGGGCTTTGTAGGTGAGCACCTGCACCTTAAATTGGGCTCGGTAAATAAACGGCAGCCAGTGGAGCTCCTTGAACAGGAGGGTTGACCTCTCTCTGTAAGGAGCACCAGTTAACATCCTGGCCGTTGCCTGTTGGACCAGTTGGAATTTCCGAGCCGTTTTCAAGGGCAGCCCCAAGTAGAGCGCATTACAGTAGTCCAATCTAGAGGTGACCAAGGCATGGACCACCCCGGCCAGATCAGCCTTTGCGAGGTATGGTCGCAGTAGGGAGTATGGAGTCGTGGTGCACCCTCACCCCCATTTCTCCATGAACTTGCTAGTGTCTTATGAGGTTGGTTGGCCATCTGTCGGGAGGGGTTCAATAAAAGCTGGATTGCCATCTTTTAGGAGGCCTGACTGAATGGGGGTTGGACTGGATGACATTTGGGGTCTCTTCCATCTCCTCCTAACACCCTCCCTCTCTTCCTTTCCTCCCGCAGTCTATCACTGGGTGGAGATGCGTGCCAAGATGCGCATCATGGGCTTCCGTGGGGCGGCCATCAAGCCCCTGAACGAGGAGGCGGCGGCCGAGCTGGGCGCAGAGCTGCTGGGGGAAGCCATTGTCTTCGTGGTGGGCGGCCTGTGCATCTTCCTGGAGTATTCCCGCCAGTCCACCAACAGCAAGAAGAAGGAGGACGAGCTGAGCAGCACCCTCCTCAGCCTGCAGGAGCAGATCGCGGAGCTCAACTTGACTGTGGAAACCCTGGACGCCCGCCTGCGGGAGGTCAACCGCATCGTGGTGGAGCTCCCGGCCCCTTCTGCGGCCAAGAAGTGACCCAGACTTATTATATACGACAAACATCGCTTTGGGAGTCATCGTATGGGACATCCCACCGATGGAGGATGAGAAGCAAGGATGTAATGCGTAGAGGCAACACTTTGCAATCGGATTTGGGGCCTGAGGTCCTTTGCCTCGTACCGATCCTCGCCTACTGAATATAGTTTAACCAGGACTGGGCTTAACCTCTTCCAAAACACCTGGAGGGACGAAGTTTGCCCAGTCCTGGCTTAACCTCTTCCTAAAAATGTAAATACTTGAACTCATTAAAACAAAAGGGCAAAATAAGAAGCCAAGCAGCTTTGTTTTGGTTGGATAACATCAGTAGATATACCATATTAATTTGAGTCTACTGAACCATCTAATACCTAATTTTGGCAAGGTTATTTAGTCCAAAAAGGTGAACATTAGATGCAAGTAATTTGGGTATTTTATTGCTTGGGGAGGCTAAGGTTTGCAATCTCATTTTCATGGGAGGGCCACATAATAATAATAATAATAATAATAATAATAATAATAATAATAATAATAATAGTAAAAGTAATAATAATAATAATATCGCTTGGGGAGGCTAAGGTTTTCAATCCCCTTTTCATGGGAGGGCCACATAATAATAATAATAATTTATTATAATAATAATTTATTATTATATTTTTATAATAATAATAATTATTATTATTATAATAAATATAATAATAATAATAATAATTATTATTATTATTATTATTATTATTATTATTATTATTATTACCCTGCTTTATCTCTCCCGAAGAAGACTCAAAGCAAGTTACATTAAAAGTACGACCACATAATTTAAAATCTACATATATGCGAACATTACAGCAGAATTGAACATAACAGTATTTTAAAATTCAGTTAAAATCCATTGAAACACGTCATCCACCATATGGTTGCCTTCAAAGGACTATGCTAAATCCATCAATGCCAAATCCATGGGTACAGAGGACCAACGGTGTGTGCATGCCCTGTTTACCCGAAAATAAGACATCTCCTGAAAATAAGACCTAGTAGAAGTTTTGCTGAATTGCTAAATATAAGGCCTCCCCAGAAAGTAAGACCTAGCAAAGGTTTTGTTTGGAAGCATGCTCCCCCCTGGTGGCCGGAAGCTGCAATACAAACAGTGTGTTGGAGCCAGGGAATTTACAGCCCTTATTTTTGTGGCCCTGGAGGTGAACTACAACTCCCAAACTCAAGGTCAATGCCCACCAAACCCTTCCAGTATTGTCTATTGGTCATGGGAGTTCTGTGTGCCAAGTTTGGGTCAATTCCATCATTTCTGGAGGTAAGAATGCTCTTTGATTGTAGGTGAACTATAAATCCCAGCAACTACAACTCCCAAATGCCAAGGTCTATTTTTCCCCAAACTCCACCAGTGTTCAGATTTGGGCATATTGAGTATTCGTGCCATGTTTGGTCCAGATCCATCATTGTATAAGTCCACAGTGCTCTGATCCATCATTGTATAACTATAAATCCCAGCAACTACAACTCCCAAATGACAAAATGAATCCCTCCCCAATCCCACCAGTATTCAGATTTGGGTGTATTAGGTATTTGTCCCAAACTGGTCCAGTGAATGAAAATACATCCTGCCTATCAGATATTTTCATGACGATTCACGACAATAGCAAAATTAGAATTATGAATTAGCAACGAAAACAATGTTATGGTTGGAGGTCAGAGGTCATAACTGTATTAAGGGATCGCAGTGTTAGGAAGGTTGAGAAACATTGGACTGTGCAATCTTCCTAGTTACTCACAAGCTAACGAGCAGATCCCCCTCAAACACTTGCAAATCAAGCTTGCTAATTACAACCTTCACACTTGGTTAAGCGTCATCGGCTTTCTCCCACGCTGGACGTTATTCCACAAGTTCGAGGGTTGAATGAAAAGTAATGCCTCCACCTTCGTTACTTGGGTTTGGATGGGAATATTTTAATAAATCAATTAATAAATAAATCCTCTTTAACTGCCACTATTCATATGCTAATGAAGGTGGTCAGTTGAAACATTTACACCTAGCTCCAGCAGACAAGAGTCTTTTGTCCCACCCTGGTCATTCCACAGATATATAAACCCTTTTTCCTACTTCCAACAGACCTCACTACCTCTGAGGATACTTGCCATAGATGCAGGTGAAACGTCAGGAGAGAATGCCTCTAGACCATGGCCATATAGCCTGAAAAAACCTACAACAACCCAGTGATTCCGGCCATGAAAGCCTTCGACAATACATTGCCACTATTCACTTTCCCACACAATCACCAGACAATTGGATACATTTCTGCCAACGACGAGCAAGTTTTCTGAAGCCGTCACGGAAGAAGTCGACACTCTGTTTCTGCAACCAGCGTCTCACGGTTCTCTCATCCTGGGTACCCATCGTGCACAGATCTTCCGATAGCCAAGCAAAGCAATAATGTGAGCCACACGTTCTTGTGAAATGCCAATTATGCTTGAAATTTCTCTCTGAGTGATACGACGATCATCCTGAATCAATCAGTCAACCTTTTGCTTGTGAAACTCAGTGGTTGCTGTCACAGGACGTCTAACACTTTGTTTGTCACACAAGTCAGATGTTCCCACGTCAACATCTTTAAACTTACTTCCCAACGATGCACAATACTCACATCAACACAATCACCATCAACAGCTTGCATTCTCTGATGAATCTCCTTTGGGGTGACACCTTCTGCTGTCAAGAATTCCATGACTCCACGTTGCTTAAGTTGCATTGACCGACCGTCTGCGCAGGGTTCCATACTTTGCACTTTAACAACACAACCGTTCAATGCTAAGCCTTCCTGCCAAAATGGAACTGTAGAGGAGAGTCTACTGAACAAGCCAGTACCTGCTGCATACATTGCTTAAGTCACATTTACCAACCGTCTGCGCAGGGTTCCATACTTCGCACTTTAACAACACAACTGTTCAATGCTAAGGCTTCCTGCCAAAAAGGAACTGTAGAGGAGAGTCTACTGAACAAGCCAGTACCTGCCGCATACCAGTACTGCCATCTGTTGAGGGGTTACGAAGGTGGAGGCATTACTTTTCACTTTAACAACACAACCATTCAATGCTAAGGCTTCCCAAAATGGAACTGTAGAGGAGAGTCTACTGGACAAGCCATAACCTGCCGCATACCAGTACTGCCATCTGTTGAGGAGTTACGAAGGTGGAGGCATTACTTTCACTTCAACAACACAACCGTTCAATGCTAAGGCTTCCTGCCAAAATGGAACTGTAGAGGAGAGTCTACTGAACAAGCCAGTACCTGCCGCATACCAGTACTGCCATCTGTTGAGGAGTTACGAAGGTGGAGGCATTACTTTTCACTTTAACAACACAACCATTCAATGCTAAGGCGTCCCATCAAAATGGAACTGTAGAGGAGAGTCTACTGAACAAGCCAGTACCTGCCGCATACCAGTACTGCCATCTGTAGAGGAGTTACGAAGGTGGAGGCATTACTTTTCACTTTAACAACACAACCATTCAATGCTAAGGCGTCCCATCAAAATGGAACTGTAGAGGAGAGTCTACTGAACAAGCCAGTACCTGCCGCATACCAGTACTGCCATCTGTTGAGGAGTTACGAAGGTGGAGGCATTACTTTTCACTTTAACAACACAACCATTCAATGCTAAGGCTTCCCGCCAAAATGGAACTGTAGAGGAGAGTCTACTGAACAAGCCAGTACCTGCCGCATACCAGTACTGCCATCTGTTGAGGAGTTACGAAGGTGGAGGCATTACTTTTCACTTTAACAACACAACCCTTCAATGCTAAGGCTTCCTGCCAAAATGGAACTGTAGAGGAGAGTCTACTGAACAAGCCAGTACCTGCCGCATACCAGTACTGCCATCTGTTGAGGAGTTACGAAGGTGGAGGCATTACTTTTCACTTTAACAACACAACCATTCAATGCTAAGGCGTCCCATCAAAATGGAACTGTAGAGGAGAGTCTACTGAACAAGCCAGTACCTGCCGCATACCAGTACTGCCATCTGTTGAGGAGTTACGAAGGTGGAGGCATTACTTTTCACTTTAACAACACAACCATTCAATGCTAAGGCTTCCTGCCAAAATGGAACTGTAGAGGAGAGTCTACTGAACAAGCCAGTACCTGCCGCATACCAGTACTGCCATCTGTTGAGGAGTTACGAAGGTGGAGGCATTACTTTTCACTTTAAGAACACAACCGTTCAATGCTAAGGCTTCCGCCAAAATGGAACTGTAGAGGAGAGTCTACTGAACAAGCCAGTACCTGCCACATACCAGTACTGCCATTTGTTGAGGGGTTACGAAGGTGGAGGCATTACTTTTCATTCAAAACTTATATAGTACTGGCTTGTTCAGTAGACTCTCCTCTACAGTTCCATTTTGGCAGGAAGCCTTAGCATTGAAGTTGTGTTGTTAAAGTGAAAAGTAATGCCTCCACCTTCGTAACTCCTCAACAGATGGCAGTACTGGTATGCGGCAGGTACTGGCTTGTTCAGTAGACTCTCCTCTACAGTTCCATTTTGGTGGGAAGCCTTAGCATTGAACGGTTGTGTTGTTAAAGTGAAAAGTAATGCCTCCACCTTCGTAACTCCTCAACAGATGGCAGTACTGGTATGCGGCAGGTACTGGCTTGTTCAGTAGACTCTCCTCTACAGTTCCATTTTGGAGGCAAGCCTTAGCATTGAATGGTTGTGTTGTAAAATGAAAGTAATGCCTCCACCTTCATAACTCCTCAACAGATGGCAGTACTGGTATGCGGCAGGTACTGGCTGTTCAGTAGACTCTCCTCTACAGTTCCATTTTGGCAGGAAGCCTTAGCATTGAATGGTTGTGTTGTTAAAGTGAAAGCTAATGCCTCCACCTTCATAACTCCTCAACAGATGGCAGTACTGGTATGCTGCAGGTACTGGCTTGTTCAGTAGACTCTCCTCTACAGTTCCATTTTGGTGGGAAGCCTTAGCATTGAATGGTTGTGTTGTTAAAGTGAAAAGTAATGCCTCCACCTTCGTAACTCCTCAACAGATGGCAGTACTGGTATGCGGCAGGTACTGGCTTGTTCAGTAGACTCTCCTCTACAGTTCCATTTGATGGGACGCCTTAGCATTGAATGGTTGTGTTGTTAAAGTGAAAAGTAATGCCTCCACCTTTGTAACTCCTCAACAGATGGAGTTATATATATATATATGTATATATAAGCACCAGCAATGAACTTGGGCTATTTTTCTGCCCCTTAAGGTGCAGTTCATCCTAATTTTTTCCGGTACACG